GATGATCCCATACTGCAGTCGATCTGAGAAGAACATAATTGAGAACGTGTTGACAGAGAACCATGTCAGGATAAATGACAACCTATATACGTCAGACGAAATCAAGCAAACAAACTCAATAGTTTAGTCCTCTGTTGTTCAACATCATAACCATCAATTTAATAGAACCAAGTAAAAAGAGGCAATAGGAAAATATTAATTTATGCTTTCATGGAACAAATGATCACGGTATCCATGTCAAATCAAAGATTTAAAGTATATTTCAATGACTTGGCTCAATAGGCAGAAGATAAATCTAATGCAAAATTGGAAAAAGTCTAAATAATTTTCAAGAAGGGCGGGTAAATGAGGCACGAAAAAAATTGTTCCCGGCCTGGAACGGCTAAATTTCATGAAGTGCTCTAAATATCGGCTTATCCTTACAGACTAACGCAGACAGTCTCTCGCAGTATGGGCCATGGCGGACTCTCAGAGCTTGAGCAAGCAATGAAACCCTTCAATAAAGATAATACTAATTTTAACACACAAACTCCTGGCAATCTTCTGAGAATCTTTCGAAGGAAACAAAGTAAAAATGTTAGAAAGTGTAAAACCCATATTCCTTAACAGTTTCAAGACTCGCAACATTGCGAAAATATAGTATGCGCCTTCGCAAGAGACTCCTGACAAAGGAATTGAAATGCAAGCTACTGCTGCTAGCGCCACACACACTGTTGCAGTGACATAACTACTCATTGGAAGACAGCTGGCGATAATTCTATACCTTGTGGAAAGCATCTTCGCAACTTCCAATCGAAAGCGGCTTGAATATTGGGAAGAAAAGCGCTCATTCGAAAGTAAATCTCGCTTTAAAGCAAAGTAAAATTCTAGTAACAGAAGCTTCAATATAAACTTTTATAAAACATGCCGAGAGCTACTTCTAAGAAGATGAAAAGTAAAACGACTACTGAGGATTTAACAACATCACCGGAATTATCTGATTATGATGTTCCAATCAAAAATGGATTGCAATCTATTACAAAGCCAGAAAGTAAGAAGAGTTTCTGTGAAACGGGCAATAAGTCTGGAGGTGGTGATGTTGTAATTGATAACAATACAAACATAGATTTTGGAAATGATTTACGAAAAATGTTGGATGTCTTTGGCACAGATGTTAACAAAGCTCTACAGGTGAAGAAGCAACGATTGGAACAGTACAGTACAGGTAGGAATTGATAATTTATCATTTTTTTAATGAGATGAACAGAACAGTTATTATGCTGAATTTAATTAACATCAAAAGGTGGTGTATTGTGTATTTTGTGTGTTGCTCCTTGTCTGTATTTTCTTATTGCCATTGCTCTTTCTGTATTATTTGGCATTAAATTTTGAGCATTTATGTATGTTGTACATTCAGTGTACTTATATTTTTGAGCCACTGGGGAGACCTAGATGTAGATGGGAGGATAAACTAAAGTGGGATCTAAGGGAAATAGGAGTAGAAGGCATTTGGATTTTGCTGGCCCAGGACTGGGACCGGTGGATGGCTTTGGTTAATTCGGTGATGAACCTTTGGGTTCCCTAAGCCATCTAATTAGTTAGGTAGTTAGTTAGTTATATAGGATAAGATTATAACATAAAGCCATGTAATGTAATAAGCCATTCAAAAACTTGGTAATTTAAAATATTTGGTTTTGACAATAAGAAATTAACATTTTATTTATAAAGAAACAAACAGTAAACTATATTTGAGGAAAGTTTGTTTAGATTTGGATTAGAATCATATTTCCATTCTAATAATAGGACGAAAATTGTAATTAAACTCGTCTAGGTGTTAACATTAGGAAGGGTAGAGGAATGCAGTTTAAGGATGTTTGAGAATGGGTTACTGAGAAGAATGTTCACACCTACGTGAAAGCAGGTAGTATGAGGATGGGGATAATTGCATAATAAAAATGAGTTTCATAATTTATAGTCTTTATAGGATCAAATCAAGGGGTTGGGACAGTTTAAAGGAATAGAGTATAAGGGTATGGACTGGGTACATATGGCTCAGGATAGGGCCCAGGGATGGGATCTTGTTACCATGATAATGAACTTTCAAGTTCCATAAATTGTGGGAACACTGATTGGCTGAATGACTGTTGTCTTCTAATGAAGGGCTGTGTTCCATGGAGTTATGGAAACTAGTTAGGTGGAAATAACCTGTCATTTCTCTGAAGATTATAATTGTGTGCACATTATAATTAATTTCTGCAAATAAATAAAAGTAAATGAGACAGTGTACATGATACTGCCCATCTTACTATACTTAATGCAGGGAAGAAATTACTGTATGGAAATTTCTGATGTATTTTAATTTAAGTTTAATTCTGCTACAGTATTACATGTTCTTTGATTTTATCTTTGTTGTCATATAGTTTGCATCAGACCATTAAGATTTCCAGTTCTTGTTAGACAAAAATATTTGTCCAAGGGCATGTACGGAATATTATTCTATAACATTGAAGAATATGTATGAATGTACAAAATAAGTAAATATAATAATACTGATTAAAAAATTATGCAGCTGATTTAAATTTTCCTTCAAGCATTCACATTCTAAATACAATTTTTTACATCATATTTTTGTGTTGGTATAGTGTTTTAAACCCCTAGCTTTCACCTCCTCAATAAAGCTCTTAGAATGTAAAGTACATGACTATTTACGTTATTCACCTTGAATTATACATTCTGCCTCAGGTGCAATGAAAGCAAATGAAGTCAAGTTAAAAGAGATGCTGCAATATCAGTCTGAAGGAAGGAGACATCATCATGAAGAAATGATCAGGAATGTTAATTCTGTTTTAGAGCAGTGGAATGTAGACTTATCTCATTCAAGAGACCAGGTGATTACTCAAAAATAATTTAAGAAATTTTATAAATATTATTATTTTTAATAGCTATGGTGTTTAGTGGTATCATGTCTCCTACAGACCAAAGGAATTTTAGTGAGAATGGCAACAGCAGAAACAACAGTGGAATGTTTACCATTATTGTTATTGTTATTATTGTTATTTTTTCTCAGTTTTGCACTGTGATTAGGCACAGACAATGGACCTGAGTCAAGCTACTTGCACATACTTGTGTGCGTTACAGCTGTAAGTCATTCAACATAATATGGACTATTGCTGTGTTGAATAAAACTGACTTTTCTAACTGAACGTATATATGACTGTGGATGTTCTGTGCTTCTGTGAATGCTTTTCTGGACGACTCTAGTCGAAGAAGTGAAGACTGGTACCACAATTACTTTTACTAATTGCCACATACTCTGCATTTGTTCTGCTAGAGGCTGATAATTGTCTGCTTCTCAGTGTACTCTTTTTTGCATTTGGTAATGAGATTGTTCTGTTACAAAACTATAAATAACATCTCAGAAATTTGAAAGACATGAAAAATGGTACTTACAATGTTAGTTATGTATATAGGGAGCTTGGGAGACATTGGTTACAGATTTACAATGCATGATAAGACTATGGGAGGTTAAGTTGTCTGATAAGGGTCAGCATGAACAGCAGAACTATTCACTTTGCTATGGAAAAGGAACAAGAACCACACCTAAAGATATTTTAAAACAATTAAGAAAGTAGGGTTTGTTAATGATATTCTGTCCTAATTTTCCTCTTGGATTACTGATGTAGTATTACTATTGTAAATGTATGTTCTCCAGCTGAAAATGGCTTTTATGGGGGTTTAGAACATACTGATGTCACAATACTTATGAAACTTGTTACATTATACAAAATATGTACACAGAAGTTGCTAAGTAGATTTCTTATTGGTAAACATTTATCTGAGGAATTTGCAATACACAGTAGCAAGTTTTACAATGACTTATTTTGTAATCTTCACAAGAACAGTGGTTCCCAACTTGTTGAGTTTGCAGAGTACCTGGTTGTCATGGTGTGGTTCAGTTCTTGTCATTTGCAGTGCTTCATAGCCCAAAGTATAAAACAGCATTGCAACAACAAGAAGCTGAACGTGTTATATGATTTGATGAGACAGAATTTGTGACTACAGTTCAGCATTGTATCCAAACAAAGTTTAGGGACAAACTTCCTTTGAAGGAGTTGGTTACATTCTGGTATGACGACTTTGTAACAGAAGGCAGCATCTGCTAGATAAGAGGTCCAGCTGGCCAGCTTTTTGTTGTTGCAACACCATTTTACACTTAGGGCAGTGGTGGTAATTGCCATACATGGCAGCAGACTTGAAGTAGTACTGCACATGACTGTAGTTATTTCATTGTTGTAATGGCTATGGATATTTATGTAAGTATAGAAAATTGTAATTGTCTTCATCATTCTGAGACACTTTGTATTTCAAAAAGTACTTTAGTTGGGTCTTCAAGGAACATTGCTAGTTGTTAACCAGTCCAACCTATATACCTTAGTAGTATATAAAATCATGCATGCAAATAAAAACTGTTTACACTTTGAAAAAACACTTAGTGTCATTAATGTCTTTTAAAAGTGTTGTTCAAACTAAAATATGCAAAGTAACTGGACAGTTGGGATTAATTTGTCAGCAAGGCATTTAAGAATGTTTCTGTTCACTACCATACCCACACTGGTTGTGGGGTCCAATCAAATTCATATGTTTGCTGTTAAAATTCTTCTCCCTGGTTGCAATGGCATTGTGTGTTTAATTTTTAATGTTTGATATATTCTTTTCCAGGAAGAAAAAATGATAAAAATTGTGCAGCAACAAATGAAGATAATCCAACAGAATCGCACTTCTCAACTTCAGCGATTAGCATCTCTTCGCCAATTACATGAATCATATAATAAGGTAGATGTAACAAATCAAAGAAATTAAGAATGAAATGAAATTCACGTGGATTATTTATAATATGGTTTCATTTTGTCCAGGCCACTTTAATGGAGTGATGGTTTAGCAATTGTGATCTGGCACTTGAAGCTGTAATTTGACTGTCTCTCTCTCTCTCTCTCTCTCGGTGTTTCAGCCCTTGCAGGGCCTTGGCCTCCACAACAGTGCTCGTCCATTCCTGTCTGTTCACTCTTTAACCTCTAAATCATCAAGCCATCTCTTTTGGGGTCTTCCAGCTCTTCTTCTTCCTTCTTGGCAGCAGCCCTGTTTTCCTGAATCCTCTCTATGTGTCCCAGCCAACACAGCCTCTTTTTCTTAATTTCTATCACTAAGTCCAGATCTTCATAGATATGGTAGAGTTTGCAGTTAGTTATCTGCCACTGTCCATTTTCCTCGACTTCACTAGGGGAGCCCAGGTTTTGTTGCGATCTATCGGGATCGGGTGAAATACCATTAGCGTACAGCACAGGGTCATGTCATGTCAAATAACTTTCTGATAGTTCTCTCTGGCAGCCTTGCCTCTTAAGTAATTCTGAGCACTGAACTTCATCTCATTCCTGGACCTCTCTTTACTTATGTTAGCTATTCTTTGCCTGTACTTGATATGAACCATGAAGTGGTCTGAATCTGCATCTGCTCCCCTGCAAGCTCTCACATCCTTCACATCTGATCCGTGTCTTTGGTGTATCAAGAAGTGGACTATTTGGTTCTTGGTTAATTCGTCGGGAGAGATCCATGTCACTTTACAGATGTTTTTTATGGTTGAAGCATGTGCTGCTGATTGCTCCTTTCCAGCTTTGGCATTCATATCTCCCAGAATTATTTTGACATTGTGCTGTGGTCTCATAAATTCATACTGAGTACTGCTGAAACTTGTTGGTTGGTGTTCCGTCATGCTGTCATTCACCAAGGCATTTTCAGACATAATTTAACATTTATAATATGCTACTGTGCATCTCTTTGTGAACAGTGACTTATCAATAAGATTTATCAGTGTATACATTTGTTATGTTGTGCATCGTGCAACAAATTTATTTGTGTTTCTTGATGATTTTGAGGAACAGTTTGGCAGATGACATAAATATAGACAGATTTTGTCCTCTCTGACACACCCCCTCACCTCTGTTCCAAAACACTTCAAACGTCTCTGTCCCATGATCTCAGATGCCTTCTAGAAGCTGGAAATATTACTGCCCTATCCGTAAACAAATGTCAGTGTGTTCCCGAAGAGTAAAATAACAAATAAATTTCTTTTGTGCAGAATTTCTTACAACAGGAAGCGAAGCAGAATGAACAGTGTGGCAGCGTACTGCAAGAGCTGCGAAGGGAACTAACTGAGCTGCAGAAGAAGATGATGATTGACAGCCAGAAAGAGGAACTGGCACAGATGCACAAGTCCTTACAGAAGAGTGTGCTCTTCATGTAATATAACACAAATATCTCTCTGCAGTTGTTTGAAAACATAAACACAGTATTTACTGGGTTATTAGAGTATTCTTATGTTTTAATGTTACTATATTTTGTTGCTTTTGTCCCATAAGCTTTACCAAATGGAAACAGGGGATTTGAACACTTAGGTTGCCAGCTTGATTTTAACTCTGGAGGTTTATGATTTAGCAGTGTGCTACTGTAATACACAGCTAACTGGACCCCACTTAAGCTGATGAAAGTTAAGGTGGAAAAGTATGTCTACCATGTAACACTTTTAAACTCAGATATGTTTCTCGAAGGAAGCGGAAAGTCTTCGTAATCCATTTTAGAATGTTATGGATATTTACTCAAGAAAATTGCTCTTCCCTCTCCCCATGTTAAAAAAATGCTTATGACATAACATATTTAATTCCCTGTGATCTGTAAATTTCATTTCAATTAATTTTGGAATTAAAATCTGTTGGCTGGCATTCAATATAAATGTTTCATGCTTGGATTGCTACTAAGAAGTCCAGATTTTCTTTAATTTTCTGATCAGTTCTCCAGCACATGGTTTTGTTATTTGTCCTTCATTACACAGGATAACAATAGTTTTTGTTCACAGACCACATGTCTATTTATTCTAATCTCCATCCTTGGTTTCTTAGTTCCTTCTGCTTGTTAATACATCAGTAGTAAAAGATTATATTTAATTGACTACACAATGTATTTATTGGTATGATAAGCTCTTGAGTTCATACTTTCATGCAATAAAATTTTCTCTCGTTGTTGAATGCAGCCAGTAGGCATTAAATGTTAGTTATGTTTCTAATGATGTATTTCAAGTATTCCTTTTGTTCGTAAATTACATATGTTATTGTTTAGATCAGTAAAATATATGAATTTTGTATTCATCTTAAAACAGAGAAAGATCAGCACAATTTCCTTCTTACATGTACATGGGAAATGATTTCTGTACATTAATTCTTGACAGGCAGATTGTTGCTGTTAAACACAATGTGTTCATCAGAAATGGTTCATATTAAGTAGATATATTTTCTTCTTGAAATCTTGTATGTACCACTGTAATATTTTACTGTCTGAAGCAAAGATTAAAAATATATGTTAATGCATTTTCTTATTATGAACTTGTAAAGTTCTGATAGAATACAAATCGGAATGTGTTCACACAGTTCATTGTATTTTGAAATTTCACCGTATATTAAGCAACTCTGAGCATAAAATGTTTGTAAAATAAGAGGAAAGTCTGGAACATGAAATGCGAATTCTGTGTTCATTTGTGGGTTATCATTCACATTTAATTTAAATTACAAAAGCTACCACAAAATGTGTTGTATAAGCTGTTGACTCTAGAATAACTCTAAACGTACTGAAGTGTTATCAGCAGTGTGATTTAATGCACAAGGTGATTTTACTTTTCACTTATGTGTAATAGCTTCCATCTTCTTGTGAGCTGTTGGAACCTTCGTGCAGAGCGACTGAGTAAAACTGTATAATGCCACTGCCATCTTTGGCGGACAATATGGCGATGTAAACTTGTGCGTGTGTTTCTTCTTCGCCCAGTTCTGCATGGGGCATCTTCTGTGCAACCATGCTCATGTTAAATAGTAATTTCAAAGCCGTGAAAGTCAGCGTATGAGTTCAGTTTGCCATCCTTGTTGGTCCCCGTGACCGGTACAGTGTCAAAAGTTCCCAGGTTCTGCAATCATGTTATGTTTTGTCGACATCGGATTGGCCATTCTCATTTCACAGCTTGAATGGATAGAAAGTTAGTTATTTGACAGCCTCGTATCAAATTCAGTGAACTTGTAAGGACTTTCAAGGTACCATCTGGCGTTCACCTGGAAGGTCCGAGCGAATCCATGAACAGCCTGAGTTAGGATATTCCATCCCAGCCAGGATTCAAATCAGACGCCTTCCAAATAACAAGTTACAAGCATTGCCACTTAAGCCAACTCTAAGCCTGATTTTACTGGAATGACGATATATGTATATACACACACAAAATGGTGAATGATTTATGATGAATTTAAGGGAATTTCACTGTAGTTGTAATGACAGCTTTGCAAACTCAGTTATAAAGTGATGCAGTACGTTAGACATTCTCAAAACATTGTAGTATCGGATCACTGTATAAAATCACATATACAAATTTTTACGCTTTAACACACAACCATATCGTGCCAGCCGCGCTTCAACCTCATGAGGTCATAATCAGTGGCATATTAAAACCAGTCCATTGTAATATTGAATCCATATAGCCCACACGTGTTGTCACAATGCACTGTGTGTGTGAATGCGGTGTCCTGCACATTTGTGCCATGTTCGTAATACCACACTTAAAGTTTATGTTGCACACGAACTAGTACATTGTCCCATTGCGTCACTCATATGTGCTGGGTCGAGTCATTCTATTTGAGGTGGAGGCGTCATTGTGTTGCAGCACTAGGTCCATTGACCGACGTCTCTCTTGTGGCTTGCGTTGTTGTCCACCGTGAGCAGTGGCTGCGCCGTCCATACCTGGACCGTCGTGGATCTATCTGTGTCCGCTTCATTATTACTGTCAGCTCGGAATGTGTGCAGGGGTTTATAAACACTATGGCAACCATCTGTTGTGTATGAAACTTAATTTTATTTCGGTTTACTGCTTGGTCAAAGAGCGTTAGACATTCTTTTCAGCAAGGTATCGCAGGGAAGTTTATCCACTGTCACTTTCAGATTAAAAGTTTATGGAGGCCTGAGGTGAGGTTTGACCTCTGTGTTTTGAATCCTTTAAATGGTGCAATGTATGTGATTCTGTGAATCAGTTTCACTGAATAAGTGCAAGATATTGTTTATTGTGATTGTAAATTTACCACCAAGCTGAGGTTTATTGTGCGTTCTCAAGACCATTAAGCAGCACTGTCTGGACAAAATACGGGCACTGACCACGGACAGGAAGAAGTTAGTGAAACGTTATAGGTCAGTAAAGGGGAACACCATCTTTCGTGTCTCGTCAGTAAGAACACTCCAGTCGTTCACACCCCGCCAACAGCAACGCAGGTCGAGTCATTCTGGAAGGAACTATGAAACTAGGGTTCTCCACTAAACATAGATTCTCCAGCTATTTACCTCTAGGCAGTTCTGTGATCGTCATTTAGGGGATGATGTGCCCCTGAAAGTCACCGAACAGGATGTGAAACGTGCCTTTACTGGCAAAAAGAAGTTTTCGGCTCCTGGAATAGACGCCATCAACAACTTTTGGTGGAAAAAATTCACGAGCTTACACAAACATCTATCTCGTAACTTCACATCTTTTTTGTCTGGTACAGACAGAAAGGAGATTTGTCTAATCCAGAAAACTACCGACCTACTACCTGTCTCAATACAGGTAGCCCTAGATTTACGCCGGGGATGCGTTCCTGGACGAACCGGCGTAAATCAATGAGAAGTCAATGACATGCGTTCCCAGCACCCAAACATTGACGAGTAATATAATGGCATTACATTTAAAGCTCTGAAATAACGTAAATAAAATAAAGGGAATTTAAAAAATATATTTTATACACTTCGGCAATTCGTTGGTCCCGCGATTGACTGAGATTCTTTCATGTGATTGATGTGTACAGTCATCTCTGCTGTTATGCGATAGTTGCATTCATGTAAGACGCCGACCTATAGAAAACCGCGTAGTAAAAATAACCCCGGTACCTCCGCAGAGATTAAATTAATCCTATGAAAGTTTAAAAGCGCCAAGAATGAAATTGCGTAAGAGCAAACTCGCATATGCAAAAGTTTGCATTTCACAAACAGCTTTTACCGATTCATCGATCTCATTGGAGGAAATTCGCGTTAATGAAACATACGTAATTGCAAAGATGACTGTATTTATAATTCTTATTCAAAATCAGCGATGTAAGAAATACGATTTAGTGTAAGAATCAGTACGAGATACATTGTAAAACGTTATAAATAACAGTAAAATATATTTTTTCCACTTTTTAACTTTCTGGTTTCAAAATCGGAGCAAATCGAGGGCTACCTGTACTGTATACATGGCGTTCACCCACATCTTGAACGAAACCATACTGCACCATATCGCCCCCATCTGGAAAGAGGTATAGGAGCAGCGGGGTTCGAAACGTGGCATTGCAGGTTGCAAGGACAATCCGTTGATTGACAGATTCATCTGTCAAGATGCGGTCCATTATAAGCGCAACCTGTCAATGGCCTGGGTGGACTACAAAAAAGCTTTTGACACAACTTCTCATGAGCTGATTGTCATCTTGCTCAAATTCTTCAAATCCAACCTGACATAGTGAAATGCATTGAAAATCTACTACCACTCTGGAAAACGCTCTTCATTTTGACATACGGAAAGCGTGTAGTGTCGACAGAGTTGGTATGCTACCACCGCGGAGTGTTTCAAGGTGACAGCTTGAGCCCTCTTCTTTTCTGCATCTCGCTACTTCCTCTTTCCGTTGTGCTAAGACGTGAGCGCGGTTACATGTGCGGTGCACCGTCCATCCGTAGGCACAAAGTCACACACCTTTTTTATATGGATGACTTAAAACTTTATGCTGCCAGCGACAGTGGCATTCAAAGTGCACTGAACACTCAGGATATCGGCATGGAATTTGGATTGGACAAGTGTGCAGTTCTGCATTTGAAAAGGGGAGAAAATAGGAATTTCGGCGAAGACGTGCAACTCGTGGACGGAAGCATCATACACCATCTTGATGCCGAAGAGTCCTATACATATCTTGGTGTGAGTGAGAGTCACGTCCAAGATGTCTCCAAGGTCAAAGAGGCTCTGTGCAGCAAGTATAGAC